TTAGTCTAAAAGATAAAAAAAAGTTAGAGCAAGGATATTATAAATTAACCTTCTCTAAGTTGGGCTTGGGCTTACTATTTCACATCAATAATTACATTATTATTAGATAACAGCTAAACGAGGGAAAAAACTAAGCTTAAAAATATTCTATGAGGAGGCTAGAGCAATATCTCAATAGCAACTATGAAAAAAATATTGAAAGGCACATAGATGTTGAAGTGGTTTAGCCTTATTGACCTATATTCACTTGAGAGTATTTATTTAATAAAGGAAAGGAAAATAATACAAAGGTCTATGTTTTCTCTCATAATGTAGTTTTCTCTTGAATATATATGTAATATAATGTATCTTGGGAGTTACTCCATTGCAAATTGAATTTATAAAAGAATGTATATCATTCATCATACTATACCATTAGTTATAACAATAAATATCATTGGTATTTAGCAGTTTATGAGGTCATGTCATGCTAATAGTTGGAGAAGATGTGCTCATAAGTGAGCATCTTATCCCTAAGAGCTCAAAGCTATGTAAAGCGATAGCGCCAACTACGGGCCCATTTGGGACGGGTGTTTCGCTGCTGTGCTTTATCAAACACAACCGAGTGGTCGTTTGGGACAGACTGATGGCGCTCCGTTCTCGACAATTTCACGTCCCGCGGTTGCTTCTCACATCGGTAAGAAGCCTCCTGCGGTTCGTCTGCTTCCCGCTATTCATAGATACGCTAAATACAATAATGCCCTTACAACCTCACAAAGTTCCTGCGACTCCTCCGCTTCCGTCTCATCTCGCTCGGCATTCGCCATAGGCACTCGTCTCCGCCACCCTCGAGAATGTTTTACCTTGTTGAATCGGAAGTTTAGCAAAACGGAAGTTCGCTCACTGTTACCCGATCGGAACCAAGACCAACGATCTTTCTAGGGTTGGTGAGAAAATCTTCAGCTCCCTCCGTTCTGCTCGCTCACTTGGCCCCCTCCCATCTACGTCCGATCGCCCTGAGGTTTGCCAACGATAGAAGATTGCTTGCAGTGAAGTTTTTTTTTTCTGGGTTGTTCGCATTTTGAAATTTGCAACTTTCTGTTTGATTTTTTATTTTTGGCGTCTTCCAAATAAGTTCATGTAATAACGATTGAACTTTCTGTTTGATTTTTTGTTTGCATTTTGAAATTTGCAACTTTCAGTGAATTTTTATTTAAATGAATTGAATAACGGCTGGTTTCGAAAATCGCTGCGTCTAGAGTGATAGAAAGCTTCTCACTTCTTTTTCTTCTTGTTATTCTTGCCAGCAACCACCCAAATCGTCATACATTTATTTTCTGTTTTGTTTAAAATGAACCTTCTGTACCTTCCTCCATAAGTAGTTTATGTTGCCATCCACATGCCTTACCATGCTGAATTCCGATATATACAGGCCAATCTAATCAATGAAATTTTATCACACTATTGTGAGACCTGGAGTACGAGTGAAACACAAAAAAGGTTTATTGCAGACCTCGGTGTACCACTGGCATGGATGCATGAGGCTTTGGTAGGTTCTAGCTGTCATTTTCGTTCATTATTGTAGCAATTTTATGGTTTCAATTCCAAAAGTGTCTATCTGCTCTAATACATGCCATGATCATTAATTTTAATTTCTCCTTGTTCAAGTTGAAATTTATATATTCTTAGATGTATTTGTCAACTTTGTAGAAGTGAAATAACAAAAATTTTAACATATTTTATTCAAAATTTATCAAAAGCATTAACATTAAGGCATGAATAAAAAATTTCTACGTAGCTTTTTGAAATCGTAATTATAATTTTTATTTTTTGTATGACTTACAAATATTTTTAATAAAAATTTATTTTTTACAACAATATTTAAAAAAAAATTTTGGCAGCTTTAATATTTTTTTTTTAAAATTGTACAAACATAAGAAGTGATACAATTTTGATTTAGAATTGTTAGTTGATTATCATATACATTTTAAAAAAAATTAAATTTTAAAAAATTATATATTTCATCTAAATATATATAAGGGTATCATGGTAAATTGTTCCCATACAGCTGCAGCACAACAGTTCTACAGTTATGCTATCCAAACAAAATATAATGATTTATATAAAGCAACTTCAAGAAGCAACTTTCTATACAACAATTTCACAACCTACTTTACCAACAGCTGCAGCCGTCCCAAACGCACCCTACATCTTTAGGAAATAATGTGTGAGAAAGTTTTTCTAAAATTTAGTATAAAAAATGTTCTAATGATCTTAGTTAGATTTGAAAATAAATTAATCTTAAGTGGCAAAGTTAATTTGCCTAGCCATTTTGTACTAAATAACACAACATACAATATAATTTAGTGAATAATATATGCATAAATGATTATGTTATATACATATCCTAGTGTGTGAACATATGCCAATATATTATAAATGTTAGCATTCAATATAATACATATAGGGTTGTGTTGATTTTCATGACACACTACATCATACTCATAATATTGTATTATGATGCAATGTGCCTATGGTTATGTGCAAACACATAAGATAAATTAGATTTTATGGATGTGCATGCATATGCTCACATTCCAAGAAATCATGTAATATTAGATATATAAAGTGATGCATGAAGCAAATTATAGCATGTCATGTAGGTTTCACATCAATGTGTTGTCTTATTCATTTTGTGTAGTATTTCGAGTGTATGCATGTAAGATGTCATGGATATGCGCTATTCATGTAGAGTCTTGCTTCTTCTAAATGTCACTTGAGTTTGTTGAATAACAAGTGTTCTACTACCTTAGGTTGAATAGGCAGTTTTTTTAAATCTATAAAATTATTTTAGAATTAAAAAAATATTAAAAAAATTAGAAAAAATTAGGAAATAATAAAAATTCCGCATAAAATTTATGTAAAGTCAGAACATCAATTTCCAAAATTTTCTAATTTTTTGTAAATATCCTAATTTTTATGAATTTATATTTGCTCATAAATTAAAGAAATTAAGGATTTAAATCTTTTAAAAGTTTAATAAAACAAAAAAAAAAAACATAATTTATAAGATAAATTAATTATATTAAATTAAATAATTTACAAAGTTAAAATTTTAAATTTTATTTTTTTGAATATACATTTGTAATTTTAGAAATGATTTGAAATTTATGTCATTATTATTTTTGGTTTAAAGTAAATTTTGTCAGATTTATTAAAATTTAAATGTGAATTTATATTATAGCTTAAACTAAGATAAATTATAACCTTAAAATTGCTAACCTAATCATTATTGAGGATGCCTAAGCCATTTGGCCAGGATTTTGGCTTCATTTAAGATAATTTTTTTACTGCTTTCTAAAGCAACTTTTTAATACAAAAATTATTTAAAAGTAGTAAAAAATGATGGGCTAAAAGCTATCACAAATGAAGCCTTAAATAACTACAAATGATTGTTGGTAAATCAAAAGGATGGTGGGAAGCAACATCAATTGCTTGCTAATTGAGGGAGACACCTAGTAGACAAGGATCATATTCAACCAATCATGGGCCATCAAATCATCAAACCCTAGATCAAAAGGCTCACTGGGATTAAGATTATTGGGCAAGCAATTCATCAAGGCTAGAGGCATCTTGATTATTGACAACTAAGAAGATGAAGGCATATGACTAAGGTTTACATTTTTCTTATCAAGTTGAGATGAATCAAGATATTTGCAACTTCTTTTTGGCTTCACTTGAATAGCTCTAGGACCACTCAACTTTGGATCGAACATTCAAGCCTTTGATCTCTCCGTTCCCACTCGATCGCCGCTTGGGAATAAGCCTTTAAGGTAGATAATGGAGGCTACTAAGTGTTTAGGAATTGATGAGTGTGAGAACTCTATTGGAATAGGGTCTAGGGCTATTAAAAATCTGTCCCTAGCACCTTTTTCTAATGAGAGAAGGAATAATAGGCATATTTGTATTAAATAGCATGATCCTATGACTAGTTGTTTGCTTGCACTTCAAGAAAGCCTAACTTGTGTCCAAGGTCCAACAAATGAGGGAAATAGGAGCTTGAATTGGCTTTGGTGGTAGATATGTCTAACTAGAAAAAATCTAAGATTGACCAAGATGGGTCTCTAGGATTTAGGGCACTTCGAATATGTGTAAGGCTATGCGAAGATCTCGATCTAGAGTTAATTAGCTTAGGTTTGACCTATGAGAGGGTTCAAATTTGACTAGAATTGAAGGTTCAACTAGATTTTGACTTGATATGTCCTATGGTCCAAGATGCTTGGGGAATAAATTGGGTAACCTTAGGTTCTAAGGTATAGCTAGGGTTTGACCAAATGATTGAGATGAATATAATCTAAACTAATGAATCATGATGCATCTCTGGGGTCCAAGTGAGCCTAACTAAAGGCCAATGTACATAATCAACTGTTTTATGATGCTTGATTTGGCCAAGGTAGGCACTTGATATTTTGGGTTGACCATATGTTGATTTGGGTTAAGTAACTCAATCTTATAGTTAGCCCAAGCTCACCTAATGTCCATGAAGTCAAGGTGTGGCCACTTGAGGCACAAGCGAGGTGAGCAGCCGCCAATGAATTATAGTGTATACACACTAGATTGAGATTTCATTTGAGACAACTTTTGTATTGCTTTATAAAGTAACTTCCTAATTTTTTTTTAATTGTAATTAAAAATTATTAAAAAGCCATAAAAAAGTTGTCCCAAACAAAGTCCAAATTAGGCCAAAGTATAAGACCATAATCAACTACTGTAATGTCAATTTGCCACTCCTCGTATGCTCAGTTTACGACTTCGTTTGGGATGACTTTCTTACTACTTCTTAAAGCAGCTTTCTAGTACAAGATATAAAAATTTTATATTAAAAAATTACTTTAAGAAACAGTAAGAAAGCCGTACCAAACAAAGCCTATATTTTCAGCCAAGCCTCTTCCTTGTAAACAAATTGATACTTTTGTACTAGAAAACTACATTGGAAAGCATTAAGAAAATTGTCCCAAATAAAGCCTTAATGTGAAAGGCAAACATGGGCCGTATGCCTTTAATTAGCTTCATTAATTAAATATTTCGAAAAAAACAAGATTTATAAGAATCATCACAGTGCCTACTTACATCAACAAGGCACTTCTGTTCTGATACTTTAGCTGAGAATTTTGAACATATAAAGGCCACAAAATAATAAATTAGTTCAAATATACAATTTGAAACAGCATTTTTTACCGTGAGATTCAACTGAGAGCTGCTCTCAAATCTGGTATTTCTGATCTGATATTATCAAAATTCAGCAAAGACTTAATATGTGAAATTTCTTTTGGCATTGATGCAGTCATCACCTACTCATCATACACATACAAAATGTATCAGATTTAGGCTTCGTTCGGGATGACTTTCTTACTGCTTCTTAAAGCAGCTTTCTAGTACAGCAAATAAATTTTTTAAATTAAAAAATTGCTTTAAAAAGCAGTAAGAAAGCCGCCCCAAACGAAGCCTTAGTGATAAATAAGAAAAATTTTCATAAGAGAAGAAAGAAAATTCTGAGAAGAAATTAACCTCATAACCAGTTTCAGTGATGAGAACTTCATCCTCAATTCTAATACCAAAGCCTCGATAACTGTGCATTTAAAGAGAACTATTTAGTATAAATAGCACAAACCAACATTTGCATTATGTGAGATTGAATGATGGTTCCAGCTGAACACACCTTTCAGGTGCATTGAAGGAGATAGGGATGTAAATTCCTGGTTCAATTGTTATGACCTGCAATTGCAAAAGTACTTTATATTGGAGCTTATTTGTCAAGTTCTAAGCACACAGGTGTGATGCGATGTATCAACTAAAGGAAAATAGGCGGAACCAAATTCAAATAATAAGAATGAAAAGAACAGAAACTACAAAAAAAGTTTAACACAAAAAAAACACAATTCTATAGAAATTCATCCACTTGATTGACATGTCCACGCATAGCTGCTGCATATTTCACTATGATTTAACTGTGAAGAACTATAGTCATAATTTCAGTAATCAAACATAAAGATAGTGTTCCCCTCTTTCTGAAAAAAAACTAGGATAAGAAAAAATTCATTAAATCCTCAAAATAACTTTAATGAGATAACCCACAAATATTACATATAAATTCCCAAAATCAACCTCCGACTAAGATTTCGTTTGGGACAATTTGCATATTACTTTATGAAGCAGTTTCTTATTATAACTTTTTTTTAATTTAAAATTTTTGTATTAGAAAATTACTTCATAAAACAGTAAGAAAGCTATCCCAAACGAAGCCTTAAGTCAGTATAATGTATTGTCTTCTTAGGGAAAAAATTTGACATCACAACATGTATTTTACTTACAACACCTGGTTGCAAGGGCCGATCATTGCTAATAGTAGCACAATCATGAACATCCATTCCTAAATAATGACCTGGTTCATTAAGGGGGAAAAACGTATTAGTTGATAACGGTAACTCTAAATAAATAATGGACTTCAAACTACAATTTGAGGTAAAATAGTAAAGAAATCTAGTGAAGGATGCATCTAGGATATCAAAAAAAAACAAAAAAAAAAGATTATGAATTTATAAGAAACATTACTAAGTTTTATCTGAATGACCTATTGAAGTTGGATTTAGCTGATAATATGTATAGCTTCTTTCATCTTTAAGGATTCCAATTTGCTTGCAACCTCTCCTCAGCATTTGAACCTGAAATTAAATAGGGATTAGATAAAATATAACGTACAAATATTCTTTGTTTGAAACAAATTTTGCTGGAAAACTGATAATGCAATAATTGAGAGTTGAATACTTCTTGAAAGTCTACCTCGATAATTTATTCAAAATAACATCAAACTACTAAGCATTACACAGCCAATCTGTTACCCCAAAAATCCTCCCAGACACCACAATAATATCACTCTTCACTTGTTATTATGCTTGATCACCAAAGATTTACTTTTCCATGCAATAATACTTGTTGAAGCTCTAGCTTGATAACCTACTCAACATAAGAGTCAAACTACCAGGCATTACACAGGGCCACCCTGTTACCCCAAACTCCTTTCAGACTCTTTGGTTGTTATTATGCTTAATCACCAAGGATTTCCTTTTCCATGAATAATTCCCTTTCCTACTCAAATAACAGTCAAACTACAAAGCATTACATAGAGCCACCCTGTTACCCCAAAATCCCCTCAAGCACCACAATTATATCACTATTCAGTTGTTATTATCCTTGATTACCGAAGATTTCCTTTTCCATGCTTGATCTCCTCCAGAACACAACATACTATATGAAAAAGACCTTAAGAGAACAGAAAACCACGAATAATTGTAAGATTGAGAAATATGGAACTAGCCATCAACTGTGATTACATGTTTAAAAAGATGGATTTAGATTTGAGAAAAAAAAAAAAACAATAAAAAACTCCTCATTTTGTTTTTAGATCTTACGGTTAGTGGTTAAAAGGCCTACAGTGAAGTAATCATCCCACTTACCCCTAAAAGCTGTTAAAAGTAGTTATTGATGGACAAATCCTTCTCTTTTGAAGGAAAATAGGTCTGACTACAAAGTATAGACATTGAATATATTACTTTCTTGGAAGAAGAGTAGAGAGAATCTCATATTTCCTTGGCAGTCTCACGAAATATGATTGTGGAGACTACAAAATATTGACTATTCAACAATCAACCGAGAACAACAAAATTAGATGTGAGCCATTTGGAGAATTTAACGATATCATCATGAGCTAGAGAAGATGCACGGGTTGCCTGCAAATTCGAATCTCAATGACAATCGTGTGTAATGATTGTAGGAGGGGTGTCAGCAGTGTGTATACATGTAAGTCATGGTAGCAGCTGCAAGCGATTTACAGCAGCACAGACTTGTGCATGGTACAATTCTCCCAAAACTTGATGTCTCTGAATCATCTTGGTATGTTAAAATCTCAAATATTTCAGCCCATCAGACAACTTCAAGGGGTTTTCTTTGGCTTACCATACTTCTTCAACTTCTTATACTTCTAGCGCTCACATATTTTTATGGTCCTCATCTCCCAAAAGATTCACAACACCTCACATCTGACTTGCACTACTGCAAGCCTCCATCTATTATAAAACTTATTCATTCCCAGTAATCTCTTGCTAAAGATGATATTTTGTAATATCATAGCCAACACTTCGTGTTTGTAGTTGTTTGTGTTCTCTTTCTTCTTGATGTCTTTCTAGTTCATCACACTTAACTTCAAAGTAGCTCAGGACGAACATTTCCCTCGTACTTTTTCAATTGTTCGAACAATTTGGTTGTCCAAAGCTATCAGCAAAGTAGATGAGATAAACTCACTAGCCATATTTGGGGTTCATATATGTGCTTGAACTTTTAGAATTAACAAAAATTTCTGAACTTTTGGAGTTTAAAAAATATTGATGCCTAATATGAATTTCTATTGATTTTGAATGTGGATGGATTACATGATCAAATTTACAATCATTATAAGACACTCGATCATCATGGGAGTGTTGGGAATGATCATACACATTAATATTGTCTTGAAGATAAATTATGATAACTATGAGACTAATCATGATTTAAATGATTGACATAGTCATAGTTGCAATATGATTCATTATTAATATGAGACCCATTGTGGTATAATTTCCTTTTTAAGGAGTCCAACAACAGGCCTCCCTTCTAGAGCTAGGAGGCAATACTATAGAGCCTAGTAAGCCCAAAATGATATGACTTATTGTATCATATAAATGAAAAACATCTCAATGAGATAAATTTATACAATATATATAATAATATTCTAAACTCAAATGCTTATGGGATTCTAAACAATATACAAAGTAATATTTAATACCTCAATTCCAAATCATAAGTAAGGAGATTTTTGGATTTTCATATGAATTTAAATATTCCAAATATCTTTGTGGAACAATATATGCATCTTTCACAAGACAAGTTTTTTGTTTCAAGGATCTCACCATAACACATGAAGACTTCATATAGTTTAAGGCTAGGGGTTAATTTTTTTGCGCAATTAATATTCAAATTTTGCAAGTATACAAAGCTCAATTCAAATTTTTTTCTGTCCATTTCAAATATTACCATCAAAATCTCAAGGAGCATAATAATACCCCAATCCATATTTTTCCTCTTTCATCAAATCCCAATTGTTTGATTGTGATATGTGCAAATGCACAAGCATGGTTGTTCATTTGTTCGGGTTGGCATTAGATTTGTAAATATACATGATTTTAGAGGAATATGTGTACTTCTCTATCCCTTTTTTTTCAAATGTGGTGGACAAGGTGGCATGAAAAAGAGGATAAGCAATTACCATTAAGGATTTCAACTTTGCTACTATGTAATAAGATCGCTCTAATACCAAAAGTGATGTGATAATAATGCTCTGATCCCAAATTAATAGATGACCCTTTATGATATTCTCCTCCATGATATTTTTTTCTGCATTCCTTTAACTTGCCTTTGGAATCCTTCTTTTCTCCTTTAACCCAATCCTTCATTGGGAGAGAATTCATTACAAGAGTAAAGAAATAAAGCTAGTAACAAGATATTAGGAAAGGGGGTGGAAGATGGTTGGGCCTGGAAGCGGCTGAGAACCATAACAAATGAAACGGTGCAGGAGAGCTTGGTTCCTTGAAAATTATGTCTTAGAAAGGGACACAAGCTCTTGAGAATTGTGCGATTTAGTGGGAGAAACAGAACCGCATGGGAGGACAGAGAAGTAAAAGGTGAGAAAATCATGGAGAAAAAAAAGAAATAGATTTCAATTTAATTCATAATAGGATATCCAAGTACTAAAATCCTGTTTATAGAATTAGAGTAATATAAACTATTTAAAATGTAAATTAAGATAAATCCTAAAACAAATTATACTATCATCAAATTAAAAAAGAAGAAATCCTAAAATTAAAAAAAAAATAAATAACATTAAAAATAAATAAATTACTTGAAATAATTAAAAAAAACTAGAATGATCTAGAAGATGTTAGACTATTCTTGAGGCATGTCTTGTATTGAATCAATATACATGCAGGTATAGGCCACGCAGACATAAAATAGTTAAGGTTTGTGTCCTCCCGCAAAACTCACTACTTAAATACAGCAGGAATGAAGACATTCAAGCACATCATGTTGAGAGAAATACATACATAAAATAGACAAGATTAGTACTAACTTCAGAATCCAAACAAAACCAAAATGCTGATTTGATGGATGATTAAGAGAAAAAGAATACTTAAACATACTGATTGGTTATGTATCTCCTGAATGCTAGCACCTGGTTTACAAAGCTTGATACATTCTTTGTTTGTCTCAAGTACGAGTTCATACAGAGCTTCCTATAGATTAGCCACCAGATATTAAGAGATAGTAAACATAATAAACAATGTGTAAGATGTCTGTTTGACAAAAGGAAGTGAGGAAATTCAAAAAAAATTAAGACTAACACAAAAAGGAATTGCAAGCTATGTATTGGTCTAGGAACACATGGGTCAGTACCTGAAAAGAGAAGCTACCACATGGTGGCCAAGTGCGTGTTAGGTCACTAAGATAACCATGAAACTCACATCCCACGTCCATTAGTACAAAATCACCATGTTGGATCTGCTCAGTTTCATGAATAAATAAAAGATGTATTTTATCTGAAAGGAATTCAAACAAAGCAAATGAAAACTAAAAGATAGTGGAAAAAAACAGATGGAAAATGCAACTCATTCTTTCAATAAAGATTAAAAAGAGATAAAATGAATTATGACCTCAAATAAAGAACTAGTGGATGCATTAAAGAATGGTGATGGAGATGGTTCTCAGGCTTTGATCCAGATTCAAAAGAGTGAACGAGAGACAAACTAAACTATGGGTATGAATCTATTATTTCACTACCGGAAAATTTCTCATTACAGGCAGAATTTTCAGTGAAAATTTTCCGCTGGAAATTTCATCGATGATCAGTGAACTCGCGGAATTTCCGGTGGAAGTTTTTACTGGAAAATTTAATTAATTTCCAATGAAAAATTTCGTCGGAAATTCTACCTGAAAGAGCCCTATTTTATCCCAAACATGTTCCCCTCTCCCATTTCACATTTTTTTCTCTCCTGAACACCTCTCGAACACAGCTCTAAGCCTCTCCATCACTCGCTATCGTTCAAAGTGATTTCTAGACCATTTTCCTGCATTTCTTCAAGATTTAAAAGGTAAACTTCTTCTCTTTGATCATTTTAATTTTTTTAAATATTTCAACCATTAGAATTTGTTAAAAGTGCATTTTGATTTCAATAAAGCTTAAAGAATTCGTTATGATATTGTATATAAAATTAAGAACTGTCTTTTAAAAATACATTTCTATTGTTAGGAGCTAATGGCGGAGAAGTAAAATTAATGGTTTAACTATTTAAACTTTTTTTTTTTTTTGCTTTTTTACAGTTATTAGATCAAGTTAGCCATTCTTATAAGTTTAATGCAACACTTAAACTCAATGGAGTGAACTAAACAAAAGAGTACACTTCCAAGATTAATAAGATGAAAATATACAATATAGCTAATTCAAAGTATTTGATAATGAATGTCAATTTCTAACTTTAGCTCAACTCCTATGAACCATTTTTTGAGAATACATTATGATTTTATGAACTAATGGTGGAACAAGAGAAGTAATGACTTGATTATTTCAAATTTTTATTTCTAGGATTGTTAGGTCAAGTTATATAGGATATCTAAACTCAGATGTCTTGAATGTATAAAAAATTGATATCGGGATGAAAGTCACTGACACATAAATTTATTAAAAGAGTTAAATCTTTTTATTTATATAACATGTTAATTACCTTTGTGCGATAGAAAAGTACCCCTCAAACTTAAGGGAAAATCATATAAGATGGTAGTGAGACCTGCACATGCTTTATGGTGCCAAATGTTGGCCATTAAAAGAGAAGCATAATGCTAAGTTAAGTGTTGCAGAGACGAGGATGCTTAGGTGGATGAGTGGCTTTACCCTTAGAGATAGGATACGAAATGAGCATATACGTGAAAAGGTTAGAGTAGCTCCAGTAGAAGATAAGATTAGAGAGACGTCTTAGATGAGTTGGTCACATTAAATGGAGGCCTTCCAATGACCCGGTTAGGAAAGTTGAGATATTAGATTTGACTTATGTTAAGAAAGGTAGAGGTAGACCTAAAAAGACTTGGTTAGAAAATATTAGAAATGATCTTTCTTTAATAGATTTAAATGAGAATTTGATTTTCAACAGGACAAAATGGCGAAAAAGGATTCATGTAGCCGAGTGGGACAAAGGCTTGATGTTGTTGTTGTTGTACATGTTAACTACCTTAATTTTTCTCAAATGAGATGTTTAGGTGTTTTCGCTCAAAGCATAAAAATCAAGTATACCTTAAACCTGATGAGGTTAAACTTGAAAATGTGACAGTTGCTTGAGAAACAGTTGGAAGAAGTTGATAGTTCTAACAACGAATCTAGTGAAAATGAGACAATAAATAAAGAAATGGTAGATACTAGTGAAAGTTCCTTTAGTGAAGAATAGTTGATAGTAAGTTTACCAAATGTTTTTTTTTTAGTATTTAAATTTAAATTTTGAAACACCCATTTATTTTTCATGTTTAATTGTAAACAATAGCTAATAAAACAATAATTTTATTTATCTTTTTTTATGTTTCAATTTATCTCTAATGAAAACATAATTTAATCTTTTATGTTTTCATTTCAGATGGCTTCGGATGATGAGCCTCATTGTAGATCTATTACTTCTATGTTTGATCGATAGAGCGAGGCCAGGCAATTCCATTGGTCATAGGAACAACAGGCCAGGGGAATCACTTTACTTCTCCTACTAAAAGCAACCTGTGATTCTCATCACCAAATCACACGCATTCCACACCATTTACCCAAATTACCTGACACCACATTCACAGATTGTTCCCTCAACATACCTGTATCCTCCTTACCATCATCCTTACTATTACCTACCTTCGGTTCAGCCATATAAGGCTGGATCTACCACACCAACAACGTAGAGTGAGGAGAAAAAACCATCAAAGGATAGACACTTATACATAGAGCCTAAGGTCGATATGTAAGTTCTTAATGTTATTAAATTTTTATTTGGTTAGTTATACAAATAATTAACATTATATGAAATTTAATAATTTATATAGATTTAATCATGTCAGGTAGCCCACTCATAAGATTAGAGATATCATAAGCCTATATGATGCTCCATATATATCTTGGAAGAAAATCTCAAAGGATGTTTGAGATATGTGGTTCAGGGAGTTTAAGGTAAATAATAGTCATTTTTTAAAGTCTAAATATTTTTATATAATAACTACTAATATGTTCAATTTTGACTATCTTAAACAGAAAGATTTTTTTGAAAAGAGAGTTTTCAATCGTCTGTGAGGTATGTCCACTAATAATAGAATGCCAGGCAAGCGCCCCTTGTGGTTTGGAGAGGGTGTATGGGGTGAATTGATCAGAGCTTGGGCCACCCTTGAAATCATAAAGAGCAGAATAAGCATAATAGAGCCTCCAACTATGGGGGCTTAGGGAGCTCCATCCATATTGGTGGTTCAGTGCCTCACATCAAGCATAGATGACAACGGATAAAATCATTACTTTTATTATACAAAAAAGTTAACTATTATCTATTCAAATTAGTTTATATTTATTATCTTAATAATTTTTTTGCAAAGAGATGTACTTGCCTACCCCGTTGGAGTTGTACACATGCACTCATCAACGTCAAGAGGATCACCAGTGGGTTGATAAAAATTCTATATTGTTCATGTGTACTATTTATATCTAAATGGGTTTATAAGTCTTTCATTTCTCAAAGGATGATTATATACTAATTTGTAAGAGTTAACCATCTATTAGTGAGAGATCCTTTTCGGGATCCACACAGTTCTCTGACTACCACACATGGTCACAGACAGTGCGAAGGAGACAAAAGGGGAGAATGTATGAATTAGGCTCCCAGGCATACGCATATGAGATAACCATCCAGCTCAACAACCTATGATAATGGCAGAATTAAGGAGATAGTAAGCCAAAGAGTGGTTGCTCTCAACGAGGAGATGGAGTAGATGAGACAAGTACAAACCAATATACTAACGCAACAATCTGAGATGCAGGCAGAGTTGCGGTCATATAGAAAATAACATCAAAAGAAGGTTCAAGAGCCTGAGCCTTAGGAGAGTGAAGATACTGAAGCCAATTTGATGTTGTACATGTATTGTAACATATAATGAACTCTATGTTTAATTTGACAATCAAATTAAGAGAATTGTAATTTCATGATTGTTCGTAAGATTTCTTTAATGAATGATTTTTCTTTAATAAAGCAATATGTGATGCAAAGATTTTAGCTTTTAAGAATTTATAAAATAGATTAGATACTAAGAAGGGAGAAAAATATATGTATAAATTAGCCAAACAAAGAGATAGGAGTAGTAAGGATTTAGTTCAAGTGAAACGTATTAAGGATGACGATCAAAAAGTATTTTTCTTATAATATGATATTAAACAAAGGTGGATGAGATATATTTTGCTAAACTTTTTAATGAAGAATGTGAAAATATGATTGACTTTAGTGGCCTTAACACAACAACATCAACAACATCAAGCCTTTATCCCACTACGTGGGGTCGGCAACTTTAGTGGCCTTAACACCCTAAATAAAAATAAAGATTTATGTTTTTTATCGACGTATTAGTAAAACCAAAGTTAGAGAGGCTTTGAAAAAAATAAAGTGTGGAAAAGCTGTTGGAACTGATGATATTCCAATAGAGGTGTGAAAATTCTTAAGAGATGAAGGAATTTCTTGGCTTACTAAACATTTTAATATTGTTTTGAAGACTAAAAGGATGTCAGATGAGTGGATAATGAGTGCGTTAATTCCTATTTTCAAGAATAAAGGTGATGCACAAGATTGTATGAATTATAGAGGAATTACGTTAATGTGTTATACTTTAAAACTATGGGAGCGAGTTATAGATCATAGGTTGCGGCGTGATACTAATGTTTCTAAAAACCAATTTGGATTCATGCCAGGTAAGTCCACTATGGAATTCATACATTCATTGAGAGGTTTGATGGAGAAATATAGAGAGAATAAGCATGATCTACATATGATATTCATTGATTTAGAAAAAACATACGATAAAGTTTCAAGAGAAGTGCTATGGAGAGTTCTTGAAAAGAAAGGAGTTAATAACGCTTATAATAAAATCATTAAAGATATGTATGTAGAAGCTATTACTTGTGTTCAAACACAAGGTGGTTTGACCAAGTATTTTCCTATTTCGATTAGCTTACATCAAGGATCAGCCTTAATCTCATATCTTTTTGCTTTAGTCATGTATGTTCTCACTAGACATTTGCAAGAGGATGTACCTTGGTGTATGCTTTTTGCTGATGATATTCTTCTTGTTGATAAGACTAGAGAGGGAGTTGAAGATAAACTTGAATTATAGAGGTCAACCATAGAGTGTAAAGGTTTTCGCTTTGAGTAGATCTAAAACTGATATATGGAGTAGATCTAAAATTGAATATATGGAGTGTAAGTTTAGTAGTAATAGACCTAGTGAGGAATTGTGACTTTGGACGATCAAGTCATTATAAGAGTACATTTTTTAGATATCTTGGATCTATTGTTCAAAGTGATGGTGAAATAGATGGGGATATTATCAGTAGAATTCAAGTTGGATGGTTGAAGTGGAGGAATGCATCGGGCTTGTTGTGTGATAGAAAAGTCCCCCTCAAATTGAAGGGAAAATTCTATAAGATGGTGGTGAGACTTGCAATGCTTTATGGTGTCGAATGAGTGCCATTAAAAGAGAAGTAGAATACTAAGTTAACTGTTGCAGATATGAGGATGCTCGGGTGGGTGAGTGGCTTTATCCTTAGAGATAGGATACGAAATGAGCATATACGTGAAAAGGTTGGAGTAGTGCCAATATAAGACAAGATTAGAGAGAGTCGCCTTAGATGGTTTGGTTTTATCACATAAAACAACATCCTTCCGATGACCCGGTTAGGAAAGTAGATGTATTAGATTTGACTTAAGTAAGCTAGAGGTAGACCTAAAAAGACTTGGTTAGAAAATATTAGAAATGATCTTTCTTTATTAGATTTAAACGAGAATTTGACTTTTAACAGGACACAATGGAAAAGAAAGGATTCATGTAGCCGACCCCACATAGTGGGACAAAGACTTGATGTTATTGTTTGTTATTAGCTTACAAAGTTAGTTTAGAGTTACATGAGTTTTTAATAATGTGTTGGAATAATATGTTATGAATTGTAATTGGTTTCCATGCAAATAGAAGAGCAAATTTTTTTTCCAAAATTTGCTAGGTTTCCGACGGATTTTCAGTTGAAAATCTTCGATATAGAGAAAAAGACAGATTTTCAGACGGTGAAGAGGTGAATTATGGTTGAAAAGTTTTGGCGGAATTATCGGCGAAACTTTGTGCTGGATCAGTAAAATCCTGGCAGAACTTATTTCGTCAATTAAGGGGCATTTTTCCGTCAGAAATCCATCGGAAACATTTCCAGCAAAATTTCTTTGCAGGAAAACATTTGCCTACACGCATCTTACCGGCAGAAAATTTTCCGATGGAAATATGCCGGAAATGCATTTTTCTTTCGGAAAATAGTCAATAACTACTTAAATAAAAAGAGAACATAGCAAATGAAAATATTATAGTATGAATATTTCCATCTTTCTTTACTTGATTTCTCACAATAAACAAATAAGTATCTTCCTTTCACCTCGTTTCAGAAGGGAGTTGGCAACTAAGGGCCGGTAAATAAATGAAAGTAAAATGCCCTTACTTTTTTATCATTCCGGGAGTAGTGTATTACGCTGCCATTTGCTCCTCCACCCACGACAGGATTAAACCTAGCCAATATAACAAAAATGAATTAATACATGAGAAAGTCATTATTGTTAATTTAAACAGTTATGGAATGACATTCATGAGCAATTTGCCCTACGGTCTCTTACATGAAGAGCAAGAAACTTAAACTTTCGATATTGCAATCCAAAAATAATACAGACAAAAGTACCATATGATCAATGTTCTGTAACTTCTTCTGTAAAAAAACTTGGTCTAATGGATGCAATGGGGACAATAGCAAGTTCCAAACATAAGACCTGCCGTTAAACAGTTCAATGTTACCAGATAAATAGGGTGAAGTAGTCTCATCGTGTGGCATCCTGTTCAATTCGTTTAAAGAATCAAGATTAATATATTTTAGCTGACTGGCAAGTTGTAAGTTTCTTAGTCTAATTGCTCAGCCAATCAAGATTAATAAAACTTGGGCTGATTGAGAAGTTCACGAGGCCTAAGACAAAAGTGATTAATGGTGCCATCATCAACTCACCATCCTCATGAGGCCCAGCTATTTGGGATTGGTTTCATGAATCTTTACTCTTCATTCATTCCAAATGAATGTTACATGAGTTGTTAAAACCATTCTATCCAAATATTTTGCACAATTTGTATCTAAGTTACCTTTAGTCTACCCATTTTTCTTCTTAATCCATAATAAATTTAGGGTAAATTATAAATGAGTCCCAGAGGTTTAGTGAGTGCTTCACTTAGGTCCCACATTTTTAAAAATCCTAAAATTGGGTCCACAATGCTTTTTGTAATGTCAATTATGCTCACTAGTATAGCTTTTGATCTTAATTGTGGTATCTACATCCAAAGGCCAGATGAAACCAATCTTTATATCAATATTGGACACGACCTGAAACCCGACCCGGATTCAACCAGGAAAAATCCGGGTTCGGGTCGACCCGGTTAGAAAATGGGCCGGGTTCAGGTTAGAAAATCTGACCCGATTCGAGTTTCGAGCCGTGTTCAGGTCAACCCGGAAACACGTTTTTTACCTGATTTTAACCTGTTAAAGCGTTAAGTCTGCCAGTCCGGGGCCTGGGCCACCTCACTACCTGGGTTAGCCGAATAGCCGGTTAGGTTTAATTATTTTTGTGTGTTTTGATCTGTGTGTTTACTCTTTACTCTTTCGGTTTTAGAGTTCGTCATTCCTCTTCTCTGTTCCGCTGCGTGCCTTGGCCCTTGCCCTAGTTTTCCACTTTTCCTCTGCGTTCTTCATAATTGAGTGGTTGTTGTTGGCTCGATTTCTCAAGAATCGCAGGTTATGAATTCTGAATTCAAGTCTCCTTCTCTCCCCATGTCATCATATATCGACAACAGGAAACCCTTTTGGAGATAATGTGGTGATATGATGATTGCTTGGCAAATGACAAAATTTGTAGTCTTTATTATGAGTTTTCAGTTTTCAGAAGGTTTTATTTTCCTTTTTGAGTTTCTAAAACCAAAACCTTAGGTGTTGCGTCTGTGATTAATAAACCCAAGAGCTGATTTCTCACTTTTTTTCCTTTATTCTTTACTGATTTTAAAGATTTTATTTATATATTATTACTTGATTTAGATCTTAAACAAAATCCCTTTGTGGCTTTGTTGATGTTCGTCATCCGTTGTCTGTCGTTATGTCAGTTTGGACTTTGGGATCTTATATGGTTATACCTATGTACATGATGAGAATTGAGGGATTTGATTGGCTAATTGCTTTAGATTTTAGGCTTTTAGGCTTTAGCCATGTTTTGTAATTTGTTGTGGAGTGACCTGTGGGCTGTGGTCTTTTACTCTTTTTACTTATTTGGCTATTTACATGATCAGCAATGATGACATGCTGGTCTTTTAACCATTTAGATGCTATTTAATATAATAATGTTTGTTATTTTCAATTTGTCATAGCATCATAGCAATGCTAGAGCCATGTTTGTGATTGAATAGTTTTTTAAATATTATTGAATAGATGGAGGATTCTTACACAGTTGTTGAAAGTACTTCATTCAATGAGAATATGCAAGTAGGAAATGCTCCTATTTAAGTTGACATTGAAAATGATGATGATGATTTGTATAAAAAGATGTAGATAACCCGTCTACCACGAAGAAGAAGAAGAATGTGTTCACAGGTTTGAGGTTATTATGAGATATTACCCCTTCCTAGTGATGACAAACAGAGATGTAAATGTAGAAAATGTGAAACACATATCAGTGTGACAACATGTATGGCACTGGCAATTTAAGACTTCATTTACAAAATTGTAAAAAAAGAGACACTCGTGACATTGTGTAACTTATTCTACAGTCAAATCTACTTCGACTATCTCTATGTCTGAATCTAAGTTTGACATGCATGAATTTTGTGAGTTATTCACTACATGCATAATCATGCATAATCTTCCTTTTCAGTGTGTTGAATGGGCTGGTCTTCGTTCATTGTTGCATTATCTCCGTCGTGATCAGCAAATAGTATCTAGAAACATTGCTAGAAATGATTGCAAGAAAATGGTTTAGTAAAGAGAAATGTCTTTTTCAATAGGAGATTTTAAAATGTACCAGTAGACTTTCATTGACTTCTTACTTATAGACATCAATTAATACGGATGGATTCATTTGCTTGACTGCCCATTTCATTGATAATAACTGGTTGTTGCAAAAAAGGATAATCAATTTTGATTTCATGCCACCACCACAAGATGGTATTACTTTTTGTCAGAAGCTTCACTATTTTTTAACGGAATGAAAAATTCATAATAGAATATTTAGTATTATTCTAAACAATGCTATAGCTAATAATATTTCTGTTAAATTCTTTATAAACCAATTAAATTTGTGTGATGCACTGTCATGTAAGGGTGATTTTTTCCACAAAAGATGTTGTGCTCATGTTGTCAATCTTATCGTGCAAGAGGGATTGAAGGAGGTTGATCTCTTTGTTGTTAATGTTAGAGAAAGTATTAAATATATGAAATGTTCACAGGCTAGAAAGCAAAATTTTTTGAAATGTGTCAAGCAAAGCTATCTTGACTCTAAGAAGGGATTAAGATAAGACGTTCCTACAAGGTGGAACTCGACATTCATCATGCTTGATTCTACTATTTAATACAAACGTGTCTTCCAATATTTGAAACTACTTGACTCTAACTTCAAAACTTGCCCTAATAATACTGAATAAGATAGGCTGGAGAGTATTCGCAAGTTCCTAGCTCCTTTTTATGAGATTACTTGTGTATTTTCAGGCACAAAATACCCCACTTCAAATTTGGTCTTCCCTTGTGTTTCTACGGCTTATGTAGCACTTAAGCATGAAAGGTCTTATGGTATTGAGTACATCAGAAATATTGCAATGAGCATGTTAGTAAAATTTGAGAAGCACTGGTTTAATTTCTGTGATATCTTGACAATAGCGGTTATCTTAGATCCTAGGTAGAAGTTCACATTTGTTGAGTGGTGTTATAGAAAATTATATGGAGGTGATTACATAACTTGAACGAGGAAGGTTAGAGATAATCTATTTGCATTATTTACAAACTATGAGAAGGTTGACCGAAAAACCTCTGATGAGCAGTCCTCATTACCCTCAGTTAGCTCTCAAGTTGATAGCTCAACGGCTTTCCCTCCAACAATTATAAAATCACAGTTTCTTAAGGTATTATTCTTTCTCGTTCATTTGAAAAACATTTCTAATTTTCCATTTACTACGCTGGACAATGTATGGTGGCATTCAATATTAGAATTATGACTCATTCGAAGAGGAAATTATTATGCCTAGGAAATCACAACTTGAAATGTATCTTGAAGAACAAAAAATTGATAGGAAGGTTAAGTTAGACATATTACATTTTTTGAAAGGTAACTAATATAGGTATCCTAAAGTGGCCGCTATGGCTAGAGATGTTTTATGCATTCCCATTTTCACAGCAGCTTCAGAAAGTGCATTTAGTAACAGTGATAGAATATTTGATCAATATAGAAGTGTTTTAAAACCTGACATTGTTGAAGCCTTAGTGTAATGTAAAGATTGGTTATATGGAGATAATGGTAATTGTTCAATTTTTTACATTACATCTTAACTGGTTTTCTCTCTTAAGTTTATAGTATATTAGTAATATATTTTTTTGTAGTTATGAATGATCCAGAACTTGAGGGTGTAACTGAGGACATCATGAACTTAGGTATTTTAGATATTGGCAGCGAAGATGCCAAAGGTTCAGCTAACAGAGTTGCGTAGTTGGTGTTGGGGACTAGGGAGGAAGTTTTATTATATTTTTTTAATTATGTTGATCGTGTTGAGATTTTAAAAGGTCCTCTGTGCTATTCTGGATGGTTACTGGTTGGTGGTTGCTGCTTTAGTTTTTGATGTTATAAACATGTTGTTGTTGCTGTTGGTTTTGTAAAAATGTTTTCTTTGTTTTGGATCTTTAGGGTTTTTTTGGACGAGTGTTCTCTGTCTTGTTTCTAATAAGTAAAAACACCATAAGTCTATAACAGCAGAAAATCTTGTTGGGTTGTGCTGTTCAATGTTTTCCAAAGCTGGTTGCCTTAATGCCTTGTTGCCGTGTTGGGTGCTGTGTTGGAGTGCTAGAGGTTTTATGTTTTCTGAAGCATATCTGCATATGGACCTTATGGCTTCTGTAAAAGTGTAAATTTGTTAGCCTCTCACCTGTTAGGTTTAAAAATTGTTTTCTGTTTTCTGAAGCTTATGGCTGCTGTAATGAGTGTAATCTGAACTTCTGATGCTTAATCAACTAATCTGTTTGATGAATTAAGGTAAAGGCTAAAGGGTATAGCTATGAAAGCTCAAGCAATGATGAAAACCTTCTAAACTGAAAGTGATAGCCGTCATGTATTGGGAGTAATTTGGTTAATACTATTGCAACCGGATGACATTTGTATTAAGCTTAAATCAAGAGCAGATACATTATTAATTCATTGATACTACATTAAGTCATTAAGTTTAATACAAACTGCTTCCTTGGATGGTAATAGATAGAAAAATCAAATATATATTATTTAATCAC